TTTCCTCCTCAAAACGCGGCGTTTTGTGACTACTCCTACTGCTACTGGCAATGGCAATCACAAAGCTCTTATTATCTGCACGCTTATCCTTATCCCGTTAGAAGCGTTTTCGCCGCCCCAAACGCCGTTAAACCGGCTTCTGCTGGTACNGGCGTTTTCGTCCCCCCAAACGCCGTTAAACCGGCTTCTGCTTGTACCGCAGCCCCAATCACCGTTAAACCGGCTTCTGCTGGTACCGGCGTTTTCATTCCCCGGATATACCCAGACCCTTCAGATTCCTTGAAGAAATCAGGTGAATTTACTCAATTTACGTATTGGGTTTTGGTAAAGTTGAGAAATTTCGTTCAATTTTGCTTCTTTAGAGGCTAAATCTGTGGGATTTCAGGAGGTGGTTGTGTTACGCTTCCGACAAAGAAGGTTGTTCATCCTAAAAAAGCTGAAGAGGTCTCTGGTCGGTGTCAAGCTCGCAGCAAAGTCAATCAGGGTACTAATTCAAACATTCCCTAGTCTTTAAATTCCAAATCTTTAAAGGATTGGAGATGTGAATGTAAATCTGTTTGTTTGCTTGCAGTTGGTGATGGTGGTTGTAATGTGAAGGAAGAAAAACATCTTCCAAAAGAATGGGTGTATTGAGAGTTTAATATTGAGGTTCTGTAGGAGTCAGGGACTTTGAAAGAAGCAGAAGAAAAAAACAGAAATGGTATAGTTGGAAGATTGTGATAGTTACTGGTTATAGTAAAGGATAATTATGTGGGGTTAAGTTGGATTGGGATTGGGAGTATTTAAATTAGGAGTATAACTAAAGCTCTATCTATAATAAGAAAGCTCTTGTGTGGTTTAAGTTCACAGGGGAATTCTAATATGTAATAGTGCAACAACATAGAGGATGTGCTGAGAGTACTTTATGGTGTTCTCTGATCTTTTTGGAATCTATGGGGTTGCAATTAAAACTTATATAATTAACTTTTTGTTTGTTATTGTTGGTCTGTTGATTAAATGAAGCAAAAGTTTATGGCATTTGTTTTCTACATTTAAAAATGGTTAAAATCTGATAGAATATTAAAGATGATTCGTCTGAAAAGAGTTGTGTTTGAGAAGGGTTTTGGCATT